AGCACACACTCTAAATTTCAGCTGTTTCATAAAGGCCTTTGAAACAGCCAGGTGTGGTGGTATATACCTGTAAACCCAGCACCTGGGAGATAGAGGCAGGAAGGTTTCTGTGAATCCGAGGTTCACCTGGTCTACTAGTGAGACCCTATTAAAAAAAAAAAGGTCTTGGAAAACAGAAAACATTCTAAAGCTAAGCTGAGGCGGAAACCCCACCTGGTACAGCATCCTAAGGGTGGTGAGATTTTAGCAGAGTGACTGACATTACAAGCAGAAACCCCACCTGACACAGGTGAGGTGCCCAGTAAGCAGCATTCTAGGCAGTGAGATTTTGGCAGTGGGACTGACTCTACAGAACTGATCGTGATGATGCTGGGGGCAGGGTTTCCCTGCTCACAATTAAAGCGAAGGAGATGTGGGGATGCAAGTTCACAAACTGGGCAAGGGCTGGGTCTTAAATCCAGACGCTCCGTGAGTAAGCAGTTTCCATTACACTTTGTCACGTGAAGGTTTGAGGTCACTATACATTGTGCTGTGCTCACCATCTTTGCCAAGTGACCCCTCTTCTGACAGGACTGACTGGAAAACAGGCTTTCCCTTCCTTAAAATGGGCACCAAAATGATATGACACCCCTTCATATAAAAACCCTGAGCGCAAAATAATTTCTCAAAGAGACATTTAAGAACGGCTCCTACTTATTCCCTGTGGGTCTTCTGACTCCGCCTTGCACCGTCTGCTTCCTGCTTTGTGGTTGCTACTGCCTCACCGAGGAAGCTTTTACACAGTGGCCGAGCCTTTGGCTACAGTTCTCTCTTTTGCCTTCCTGTTTTCTCCCTCCCAAGCTTAAGTACATACTCAAACTGGAAGGAAGACTGTGGTTAAGAAGCTGGTTATGGGGGCTGGAGGGACGGCTCAGTGGTTAAGAACACAGCTATTCTTCCAGAGGACCTGGGTTCAATTCCTAGCACCCACATGGCAGCTCACAACTGTCTGTAAAACCAGGATCCAACACTCTCACACAGACACACATACAGGCAAATACCACGGGCACCGTAAGTACATACACAGAGAGAAACAAATAAAACCCTTTAAAAACAAAACAAAACAAAATTCACAGGCCTGGTTGCAGATGGGGCCCTCCTGGTTTGCTTTTTTAAAAAGTCTGCTTGGTAAGTTCCAGGCCAGTTAGAGATCGTGTCTAAAAAGAAAAAAGAAAAGAAAAGACAGATGTCAGCCAAGGACCAGCACCCGAGGCTGCTCTCTGGCCGCATATTATACACATGTGGACACACAGAAGCAGACTACGCCAGGAGGAGCTGACAACAGTGGTAAAAATTCTTCCCCAGTTAAGCATTGTTAGGTACGATACAGTTGACAGGTAATGGCTGTTTATACAGAGACAGACTTTTACTAGCTAGCATCCTTGGACTTAGTTATAATTAAGCATGTTTTACAGTACTGTCTTTAGGTCCAGGTCCAATGTCCCTGCCCACTCAGCTCTTTTCCTATTGCAAAAGGTAAGGAGACCATGAGGTCAAGAAACCTGCAGACCTTCCACACTGCTCAGATGGTAGGGCACTCTTAGCTGCTGATCATGTCACTATTTTTAGGAAAACGATGTATGTACTTATTTTAAACACATCATGAATATGTATGCTTTTTTTGTATAGCGGGTGGAGAGTTGGGGCAGAAGAATGGAATCAATCGGGGCCGTGAAACTTTTAAATTTGGCTTTCCAGATCATCGTGGACGTCGCTTTGTTCAAAGCAGCAGAACAGATTTGTTTCAGTCACGTTCTATCGTTCTATGGATTTTCATGAAGAGGTTTTAAAGGAAAGCATTTAACTGGGGGCTTGCTTACAACTTCAGAGCACTGGTCCACTCTCACCAGGACAGGAAGTGGACAGGCAGGGTTCGGGAGCAGTAGCTGAGAGCTTTACGTCCTGACCCCGTAGGCAGAGAGAGACAGAGCCTGGAATGATCTTTTGAAACCTCAAAGACACACCTATCCTAACAAGGCCACATCCGATCCTTAGCCACACCTCCTAATCCTTCCCAAACAGTCCCACTAACTAGGACCAAGTACTCCAACAAGCCTATGGAGACCACTCTCATTCAAACGACCACAGTATTTTACACGAGTTTGTCATTTTGATTTATAAGGGTCCATGAGCATCCACAACCATATTTTTGCTCAGATTCACCAAGTTTAGGAATATATCTGCTCGTAGTATATTATGGGGCAAGAAATAGTAACTGCACACAGTGCACTGTAGCCTTCAGGTCAGATTCTCCTGAATTAAAATGTGAGGTGAGTGCTGCAAACTCCCCGGCGTGACACAACAGAGAAAAAGGCGCTCTCTTTGGGGTTAGCAGCTACAAAAGTTATTTTAGGGGTTGGAGACATGGTCAACAGGTAAGAGCACTTATTGCTCTTGCAGAGACCATGGATTTGTTTCCTAGTAAGGCTCACATTCCCGGGAATCCTTGGGGCTGGAGAGATGGTTCAGAGGTTAAGAGCAGTGGCTGCTCTTCCAAAGGTCCTGAGTTCAATTCCCAGCAACCACATGGTGGCTCACAACCATCTGTAATGAGGTCTGGTGTTCTGGTATGCAAGCAGAATACATATATACATAATACATAATAGATACACATAATAGATAATAAATCATCAATCCTAAAGAAATTCCAGGGAATCCCATGTTCTGTTCTGGCTTTCATAGGTACCAGGCATGTATGTGATCACATATATACCTGCAGACAAATACTGGCACACATACAATAAAAATAGAGAAGATATTTAAAAATTTATTTTACTTTAGCTTTTTAGCCAGATATTCATGAGGCCAAAGTTAGCCTTGAACTCCCTATGTGCTTAGTTGAACTTTTGGTCTTCCTGCTTCTACCTCTCAGATGCTAGGATCACAGAGCTGTATCACCATGTCTGATGAGAAATTATTTTAATTGTAATGGTTTCAGTGTGATTTTGAAATCTTGAAGAAGACAAATAGAGGCTAATAGTAACCATGTAGTCAAATCTGCTCACTTAACACAGAGACAACAGAGGTCTCACCAGGCAAAGTGGCCTGGCAAGGAGACTGGTGAGCAGCTGACTCCGGTCCTGTCTTATCTCTCACCACACGCAGTCAGCACGCTTCAGCGCTTGCTCTCACTGCTAGAAACTATGCACTTCGATACTTAATAGCTGAGATGCATAAATATATAGTTGTATGTTATTTAGTAGATCATTAAACAGTCACTTCCTTCCTGGAAATCACCCCACCGCACGAGCAGATGCTTTCTAAAGAGAGAAAATGGAAAAGTGAACCTTAAAAAGATTACTAGACCAACTGATACTAGTCATAGAACTTGAGTCTGTTAGGAATGCCCAGATCAGACAATCTGCAGCACTAAACAGTCTTTATTTTATTGTCTTATTTGCATTGTTTCCTTAGGACATTTCCATACATGTAGATATAGCCTTGTTTGCTCATATCCATACCACAACCCTCTCACCTCTTTGTTGATGGCCCCTCTTTCTTCAAGTAGTCCCTCTCTGCTTTCATACCATATACTGATTCGTTTCCCATAAGTGAGAACATGAGGTAACTTTCTTCCTCTCATTTCCTTAATTCTGTTTCCCTGTCTACTTTTTTACATGAAATACATATGCGTATGTATGTATGTATATTCAAATCTAGATTTCATACATCAGACAAAATATGCGAAATTTGTCTTTCTGGGTCTTGCTTCAGGAAATATTCTTTTTGTCAACAATCTTGTTCTAAAAACCAAAGGGAAAAAAAAATGAGGCTGGACATAGTGGTGGACGCTGGAAGAGGGTGGGGGGGGATGAACAGGTGGGGAATGGCAGAGGCTGGCAGGGTCTGTGAGTTTGAGGCCAGGCTAGTCTACATCACGTTTCAGGATAGCTAAGACTACACAGAGAGACTACGACTCAAAAAAAATCAAACCAAACAAACAAACTAAAAGATGTATTTATAAACAACATTAAAAATTCCAAGTCCTAAGGCAGTGGGGATGAGACCAAAACAAAGGTAACAAAATAACAAAGTATTCTAATTTCCTGAAGCCAGTAGACTATTCTTGAGAGGTAACTGTAAACTCTGCAGAAAGTAACAGTTACTGTTGGTAGGGATCACACAATTTTTCCCCTGGTGAGCTAATTTATCACTTCTTATCTTTACATCCAGCCTTTGGAGATTCTGAACTCATTCAGGATCTAAGAGGCACGCCCTGACTAAGGCTTCCACGGTGTTGTAACCCATACCTCCCTAATTCCGAATATTTGAGATAGAAGTCAAAGCACATGCTTGGCGAACTCTGAAATATAGAAGTCCAACTTGATTTTTCAAACATTTATAAACATCGCTAACAGAATTTTTTTTTCCCGGTGAGTTAAAGGTACAATTAAAGTTAAAATCTTTAACACTGAAGCTCAGTTTAAAGTGATTTTTATCTTCCCGCTCCAAAGAGATCCAAGTTCTGGCTCTGCAAGAAACTCTTTTAAAGCATTAACACTTACGACATCAGTTAAAACAAGGCATCTCTGCACTCTTGTAGCCTTTCCGGTCAATCGGGTTCTCGACCAAAACAACGCCGGATCCCGGTTTGCAGAGCGTGCAGAGGCAGGAGGGACCCGAGCCAATCATGGCAGAAAGAGAAAGCGGTACAAGTAGGTAAGGCAAAGTCTCCGGGGCGAACGGCAGCGCTACCTCGGTCCTGACAGACGTCGGGGCTCTTCCCGCGACGCCCGATTTCCCCGGGGCGCCTGCCGCGCGCCCTCCTTCCCGGCAGCTCCGCCACCGGCCGCACCGAGAGGCCCTCTGACCTCCGCCGGAGGCCCGCTCGCTGATCCCGCCCCGACGGCCCGCGTCAGCGCCTTGGATTGGCCAGTTCCAGGATCCCTCAGTCGAGCGCGCCCAATGGCAGCTCGGCCGCGGCCTGGAGACCCCGCCCCGTGCCCCCGCGCCGGGGAGCGGACGAGAGTAAATACAAGAGGAGCGCAAGATGGCGGCCCCGCCGAACCCCGCTCCGGGCGCCGCGGCCGCGCTCTCGGACAGGGAGGCGTTCGGCAAGCTGCAGCCTGCCTCGCGGGAGCCTCCGGGGGCGGCGTCCGCCAAGAAGGTCCGGACCGAGGAGCGGAAGGCGCCGCGGAGAGTGAACGGCGACGGCAGCGGCGGGAGGCAGCCTGCGAGCTACGGCGGCCCGGCGGCTTGGAGCTTCGCGCCCGCCTCCTCCTCGTCCTCCCCGGCCGCCGCCCGGAGCTGCTTCTCCCCGCCGGCCTCCGCGGCCCCAGCTCCCCCGCCGCAGCCGCTGCCGCGCACGCTGCTGCTCGCCCCCTCGCTGCTGCACGCGCGGCCCCAGCACGTCCTGCTCCCGCCCGCCGCGCCGCCCTCCTCCTCCTCCTCCTCCTCCGCCGCCGCCGCCGCCGCCTCAGCCGCCGCCAAGCCGCGCAGACCCAAGGACCCCAAGGACCGGCGCGAGCGGGAGAAGCGGAGGCACGGCCTCGGCGGCGCCGCCCGGGATGAGAACGGCGAGGCCAGGCCGGCGTCGCTGCAGCCGCAGCCGCCGCGAGGTGGGTGCCGCCGGGGGAGGGGAGCGGCCGGGGCGCGGGCCGCACGGAGGGAGGGAGGGTGGCGGAGACTCCCGGTTAGGGCGCCGCGGGACGTGCACGGGGCTGGAGGACTCCCCGCCTGGGCGCAGTCGGCTAGGGACGGAGAGGGGAAGAGAGGTCTTTAGAGATCGGACGGGTCGCAGGGTTCGTATTGGCGACGCAGCCTCCAACGCCAGAAAAATCCTGTAAAAAAAAAAAATTAAAAGAAAAAAAAAGAAGAAAGAAAAGAGAGAAAGAAAGTGCGTGCGTGGTGGGTGTACCGGCAGAAGCTAGAAGCGTCCAGGACCAGCACGTTTCTTTCCTATTAGGGAAGTGGGGTAGTGCGCGCGGCACCGAGTGTTTGGTTTCTGAGGTGCCCGCCTTTCACTTTTCGAACTGCTTCATGTTCTTAAAGTGTTTAGAGCGGTCTCGTCTTAAATACTACCCTTCAGGAGCATTCAGCCGTATTCTTTCTCCCTCCTGCAGCAAATGATAAAATCAGATGCCTTGACTTTTTTTTTTTTTAATGGCCAAGTCAAGTGACTGCGTAAGAAATGGGCAGTTAGTTTTCTTAAATGTCATTTTCCAGTATGCTTTTGTAACTTAAGCTGGTATAGTTTTCAGTGTTTCCTAAAGAGTCTTTAGTTATCTGTGGCTGTGTGGAGCTCTGACTGTAATACACAGTGGATGAGCCGGAAACTAGATCTTTATGAGATCACGAGGTTACAGAAATATACATTGTCATTGTCGCACAGTGTTTGGAAGTGCTGTTTTGTTTTGCAGCGCAAGTGAAATGCCAAGCAGTTTTAGCCTTGCTGATCTAATGGTAGCTTAGATCTTGAAAAAATTATCTGAATAGAATATATTCATCATTTAAAGGCATGCATGCGACCCATGTACATTTCTGCATCCGAGCCAAGCGAGTGGACCTGTGTTCCTGGTCCCAGTGAAACCCTGTAATGCGGTTCCAGTTTTCGAGAGTGTTGCTTCAGGAAGGCTCAATTTGAGGATGACATTTATTTCCTTCTGCTCTGGAGTTTTAGGTGGTTAAGTGTTTTAAACGTCTGTGTCGCAGTGGCTAAATAAAAAGTAAGTTATAAAGTGCTTCAGAGTCCATCCGTACGCAGTTTGGTCTTGCTTGTGTAAACTTCCCGTTTGCTTCTTACTAATCGCTGCAGAAATTAACCCCATTGTTGGAGTATTCGAATGATGAGAGGAAATAAGCGTTTTAAGAAATGATATTGGCTTATAACAGCATACATGTGTAGTCTACATATATATATATATATATGACCATAATGGTGAAGTGACTGTCTTAAATGACGTTTAAAACCCTTTTGGGGACTGTTGCGGTGGTTTGGGCATTTGCCATGTAGCATGACAATCTGGGTTCAGTCCCCAGGACCCAGAGGATGGAGGGAACCAGCTTCCCACAAGGTGTCCTCTAACCTCCAGGTCTTCTGTGACAATAAGTGTGCCCCTCCAAAGAAATGTAGTAACCCCCGAACCTAAACCCCTTCTGTTGTGGGCTACCTGTTACTTTTAAGTATAAGCAATGACAGTGTTTAAGTTAAGAGGTGGGAAAGATATTTTCCCATGACCCGTGTGGGATAATGAGTAGATGGTAATTGTTTTCTCTTCCTCTGTGTCTCTCTCTTCTCTCTCTTTCTTTCTGTTTTTGTTTTTTTGAGACAGGGCTTGTCTGTGTAGCCTTGGCTATCCTGGAATTCACTTTGTAGACCAGGCTAGCCTTGAAGTCAGAGATCTATCTGTTAGAATTAAAGGTGGGGCCACTACTTGTTAACTATTAACTTTAAATAATTTATTTTTTTTGGCTAGAAGCAGCACTTTTGGGGGGGGGAATTAAAATCAAAGCAAAAGATAGCTTTTCAGTATTTTGGTGCACTCTAGGGTTTGAATTTGACTGCATCTAGGTTCTGCTTTAACAAAAAAAAGTGATAACAAAGTAACAAGATTTTTAGATATATTTGTTTCATAGATTGTTGCAAGTATAGGCAGTGTTTATTTTCTGTGCGTTTTATACAAATCTTAGTGAATGAATAAGTGATTGTTGTTTGACGGATATACTCTTTAAATGAATCTCTAAGTTGGCGGTACTAGTTCAGAAACCCCTTGTTTACATACAACACATTGACTTAACAGACTAAGTACCAGAAATTAGGTATAAAGACGTTTGAGAAAAATAGATCTTGCCGGGCAGTGATGGCACATGACCTTAATCCCAGCACTGGGAGGGGGTGGAGGTGGAAGAGGCAGGCAGATCTCTGAATTCGAGGCCTGGTCTTCAGCCCGAGTTCCAGGACAGCCAGGGCTACACAGAGAAACCCTGTCTCAAAAAAAACAAAACCAAAACAAAAAGAGAAAAAACTAGATCTCAGTTCTGCACCTGTATTAACCTTCACTGCTGTGTTTACATACGGTTTCAAACATATTTAGAACTGTTTCTTTGTTGTTTATTTGTTTTTGTTTGTTGTGTTGTTTGTAGCTCTGGCTGGCTAACTACCATGTAGAATAAACAGGCTGGCTTCAGCCCAGTTAATGCTGGGATTCAGGTGTGAGCCACTACATCTTGTGTCTGGGCCATCACACCCGGCTAGATCTTAGCTTCATTTACCTAACAGAAGCATTCAGATAAAGTAAATGTGTATTTGAAACAATCTGAGACAACATTTAATAGTTGCTGAGTCTGAAGCATGGCTATTAATTTTCCTAACCCTACCGTGAATTAAAGGTGGGTCGGTCCTAACCCGCCTTTCAAGCCAGGAGGGCCCTAATGTAGGCGCCTTGCGCACAGAGCTGACATGGTGTGTGCCTGTCGTCTCCAAGGGTCTGATGGGCTGTAGCTGTGCACAGGCTTCAGGGCTTACATAGTGTTGTGCAGTTCAGGCAGGCTTTAGAACAACTGTCCTCTTCCTCCTGAGATCCACCTGCCTCTGACTCCCGAGTGCTGGATTAAAGGTGTGCACCATCACTGCTCTATATCGGACTGAATTTTTAAAATTACAAAATAACCACATGAACTACTAAAGTTTTCTTTAACACCAAGTGACATTTGAATTGAAAAGTATAGAAATAGGCATGATGGTGCATGCCTTTAATCCGAGCATTTGAGAGGGAGCCAGAGGATTTATGGTCTTAGACCAGCCTGGACTACCTGTCCTTTTTAAAAAAAAAAAAAGTAAAAACGGTGTGCCGGAACGACGGTGTGCTGAGGGTGCCATGCGCTTTCACACGCCCCAGCGATGGACTGTTTTCTGTCTGTGTCTGTGTCGCTGGGTGTATGTGCAGCCTGGGGTTTATGTGTGCTGCATGCTCGTACAGAGGCCAGACGAGGGATTCGGGTGTTTTCTATTGCTCTCTACCTCACTGCCTTGAGATAGCATCTCTCACCAAACCAGAAAGCTTGTCTGTGGCTAAGCTGACAGGCCAGAGTGCTCTGTGGGTCCCTGCCTGTCCCCCAGTGCTGGGGTAACAGTCACACTCACGTCCTCATGAGGAGCAGCCAGCTGCCTGCCCACTGAGCCACCTTCCCAGTCCCACTCTTCTGAGAGGTGATAGTCCGCTAAGGTTGTGTTTGGGGGTGACCTATTGTACCCCCCCCCCCCGCCTCCACCTCCGTCTTCTAGTGAAGTCTTCCTGTACCCTCCAGCAGCTTCTTCTCTAACATGCTTCTTCATATAATTTTCCATGTAAACGACAATCCCTTCTGTCCCTTCTTCCTGATTTCGTCCGGTCGCTTCCTCTTAAAGGCCTGTGCATAAGCTGTCTGCCCTGGGCCTTGAGCTCACTGACGACGCCCCAGGTTCTTTCCTTGCTGTTTGTTTTGTTCCTTTTTTTGGTAGGTTACTCTCATAGTCTCATTTTTTCTACTAGCAGTACTGTGAGGAATATGTAGAAACTGTAGTTTATTTGGGTTTGATTTCCCCCCACACTGGACTGTTGAGGATTTTCTCAGACCGCCTGCCCTGGAAAGTCTGCAGATGAGCCCTGTTGTCCCCTCTGGTGCTGCAGTTGTCCGCTCTGTTTCGGGGTGTGCCAGCTCTTTCACTGAGTTTTACAATTTCAGCTTTAAAGAAAAAGAAGAGTGTAAGCCTTGTGTTTTTCTTCCTGTATTGTAATACCTTTCTTTAAAACCGACCGGGCTTAGCATCTCTGTTATTTCTTCAAGGAAGCTAATTATAGTTTCTTTGAAATGTTCTGTTTCCTGCCTTGCTTTGGTTGTACTAATCTTTTTTTCCTGTTTGTTTTGGTCTCATTTATTTGGAGGCTGCCCTCAAGTCTGTCTTATTTTTAGCAGTTCTTTCAATTTAGAGAAAGTTACCAAGATTCATCAAAAGCCCCTGAGCACAAATGCGCAGGGCTTACTCACCCAGCTCCTGTTTTATCTGCTCTGGTGTTTTCTGGATTAAGCACTCTGCTTCTTCAGACTAAACTTCATTTCTGTTTCTTTTGTGCCAGATGCTGGGCAGAATGGCTTCCTCACCTAGACGAGGTGGCCTAGCTTGCAGGACGCTGGGAGCCTGAGATCAGGGTTCTGAAGGGCCGCTCCCTGCCTGCAGGTGTGTCCTTCCCAGCACTGTGTACCCACGGGCCTTTCTCAGGCACAGTGGAACGCAGTGGTTTCTTCCTAAAAGGCCACCAGCCTTACTTGGATCCGTCTCTCCCGTTTGTGACTTCATATTCTGCCCCTAGAAGCCCAGTCTCTTGTGCAGCACAGATACAGGTGTCTGGGTTCTGGTGAGCAGGGGAGAAGAAAGCCACAGATCTTGCTAGCTGTTTGATAAACTCAGTTTCCTTGCTTTCATCTCAAGCCCTCCCTTTTCTCTGTGGGAACTCCTGGGCCTGGAGCTATTCTAGAGAATTTACCTGTTTTCCTTAGGAATATGTGGGTGTTCTGCCCTCTTTGCCCACTGCCTCCCATTTCCAGCCCTTTTTATGGTGTGTAAGATTGTCCTCATCAA